TCCGCACACACCGACTGCACACACTGTGACATCTTTCCTCACACACCTACTGCACACACCGCGAGGTCTTTCTGTACACACCTACTGCACACACCGCGAGGTCTTTCTGTACACACCGACTGCACACACTGCGAGGTCTTTCCGCACACACCGACTGCACACACTGTGACATCTTTCCTCACACACCTACTGCACACACCGCGAGGTCTTTCCGTACACACCTACTGCACACACCGCGAGGTCTTTTCGTACACACCTACTGCACACACCGCGAGGTCTTTCCGTACACACCTACTGCACACACTGCGAGATCTTTCCTCACACACCTACTGCACACACTGCGAGATCTTTCCGTACACACCTACTGCACACACCGCGAGGTCTTTCTGTACACACCTACTGCACACACTGCGAGGTCTTTCCGTACACACCTACTGCACACACTGCGAGGTCTTTCCTCACACACCGACTGCACACACTGCGAGGTCTTTCCTCACACACCTACTGCACACACCGCGAGGTCTTTCTGTACACACCTACTGCACACACTGCGAGGTCTTTCCGTACACACCTACTGCACACACTGCGAGGTCTTTCCTCACACACCGACTGCACACACTGCGAGGTCTTTCCTCACACACCTACTGCACACACCGCGAGGTCTTTCTGTACACACCTACTGCACACACTGCGAGGTCTTTCCTCACACACCTACTGCACACACTGCGAGGTCTTTCCTCACACACCGACTGCACACACTGCGAGGTCTTTCCGTACACACCGACTGCACACACTGTGACATCTTTCCGTACACACCTACTGCACACACCGCGAGGTCTTTCTGTACACACCTACTGCACACACTGCGAGGTCTTTCCGTACACACCTACTGCACACACTGCGAGGTCTTTCCGTACACACCTACTGCACACACTGTGAGATCTTTCCTTAGGCACACACTGTGAGATCTTTCCTTACGCACACACTGAGAGATCTTTCCTTACGCAAGATGTCACAGTGTTGTGCAATCGATGTGTAAGGAAAGCCCTTATGGATGTGATTCCTACTAGAAACAGACTCTGGAGCACAGCAGATACTGCTGGCTCACCACCACCACCACCACCACCACCACCACCTCCACTACCACCACCACCACCACCATTCCTGCACCACTTTCTCACTTGCCTGAATGGGTGACCAGGTGTTTCTTGGGCCTCTTCCTCTAAAAGCCATAGAGATAGAATATTGACTAGTCTAAGTCAACTGTATAATTTCATTTCCCTTGTCAAAGGGCATGTGATACAACACTGGCCAATATGTGGCTTCTCAGAATGTATTTGTATCCATTAAAAGAAATACAAGTTAGGGATTCACGTCTTCTTACTTTTGATTGTTGTCTTATGTGGATGTGATGCTCAGCACTGCTGCAGCCACCTTGTGACCGTGAGGAAAAAGCTAAGAGAATTCCAGAGGTTTAACTTGGTCAAGCCATTGAATTAATCACTCCTGAAACCACCCTGCCTCTGGACTTGTTGCATAAACAACAAATCCCATATCTTAGAGCTACTTCCAGCTGTTTCTTACAGCCAAGAAGCAATCTTACAGAGCAGTGGCCCAACAAGCAGCTTTGACCAAAGGGGCCAGCAGGACACAGGGTAGTATCAGTAGCGTATTAAATACTAACTTTCATTCACATCTGGAACATGACCTGCCACGTGACTGAGATTGACACTGAGATGAACCCATGGGCCATCCTGTCATGCTATGAATGAGGAAATTGGGGCTTAAGGAAGTTACAAGAACAAGAATCTGTAGTTCTTTATATTTCACAAATCGCTTTTAAGTAGGTCATCTCACTTAATTTTTATAGAAATTACTATCATTATCTCCATTTTATAGGTAAGTTAAAACTAATGGAGAATATTAAGCTATTAATAGCTATATTGTGCTTTATAGTATATAAAGTGCTTTTCACATCATAATTTGTTTAATTATTGCCTTTAACTCTAACCTGTATGTAGCAGTTTGTAAATGAAGAAGCAGGCTCCAAAAGGTCCATGCACTTGGCTCAGCTCCACTAAGCTGCGGGGCTGTTCTTCCTTTTTCAGTCGTTCTCACGGTGCAGGCCCTGGACCCACAGCCTCAGCATCACCTGGGAGCTTCTTAGAAATGCAAATTGGCAGGCTCCACCCAGACTCACTGAATCAGAAACTCTGGGGCTGATCCCAGTAGTCTGTACTTCATGAAGACTTGTAGATGATTCTGACACGCTCCTGTTTGAGAAGTTTGCTTTGCACCAAGCTGGTGCCTCAGTGGCTTGTCCATAGTTATCCTGTCAGGTTAGCCAGACGTCCCAGTCCAGGGCCAAGTGCTCTTTCTAGTACAGAAATCAGAGGCTAAACAAACAGGAAAAAATATGGACCACTGACCACAAAGATAAAAGCCAAGAAACAACATTATAGTTGTTGGACGAAGACTAAAATAGTGAAGCACATGCTATACTACAAATAAAAGATTGTCCTTGAAGAAAATTATTTTGGGACCAATAAGCAGAGATGATACTATTGGGTACAACACACAGTCGCCTAACAGAAATTAGAACCTGAGTTAGTGGACAGCCAACATCACTTATCCACCCAGAAGAGCGGAAGACTCTTCTGAAACTGATGTGTGATTTTGGTTAAGAAGAGAGATTACACATATGGATAGCCTACTATGCACCAGATACTTTCCAAATGGGACGTCATCAAAGCTCAAGCAGTCCTTCTGCGTAGGTGTAACCCTACCATGTTATTGGTAAGGAACCTGGGGCTCAGAAAGCTTGAATAACTCGCCCAAGGTCTACCCAGCTAATGAGTGGTGAAACCACTATTCAAACAAAGAAATCGCTTTCTCCAATTTCTGAATTCTTTTGGCTACTTCGCTTTATTCTTGATCAAGCTGCACCTGAGAGAAACCTGTCAAAGCAGCCCACATCTAACACCAATAGCTCCTCTGCAGCCTTGAGATTGGCTAGTTCCCCACTTAGGACCCTCTTTGCTCTGTACCCTCACTCTCCACCTCATGCACCTGCTTCTCCCCCTGAGGGCTAGGTCCTCATCACACTCATGGTTGTAACCCATGAAGAGCCTAGCGTAGGGCTTCGAACAGAGCAGGTGCCCTTAGATGTTTACTTAAGACAACTCAGACACTGCTGTTGGGGGAAGGCCCTGATTTGGGGGGATGATGGCATTCAAAGGAACCATGTTCTCCCAGCATGACCCCAGTGGCTCAGGCAACTGCTGGACAAATGAACCCTTGGTCTGAGCCAGAGTGAAAACTCTTTTTGTTCCTGTGTGGTGGGTTGTATCAGCCCGGCACCTCCTGCAAGCCACAGGGTGGTTGCTCAAGAGATATTGTTGACAGATTGATTTACTGACTAATTTACGCGGCATACTTATCCAATGACATAGGTACCTTGGAGGGAGTTCAGAGAAAAAAACCCAAGGTGATTAAGGGATTGGAAAATGTGCTTTACAGGGAAAGGTTATAGGGACTGGGGTTATTTAACTTGGAACAGAGAAAGCTGCATAGGCTGTCGCCCTGGAAGAAGCTATGGTCAGTGTAGTCCGACCTGCGTGTAGCCTACCTGGGGAACCAAGACCAGAGAGCGGAACCAGAGCAAGGCTACACTTTGTGTCCAGTGTTCTCTGTGCAACACCAGGTCTCCCCAACCGGCACACACACACACACACACATAAGCACCCACGCACATACATGCACTTGCAGGTGTGCACACTCACACACACATACGCAAATATACATGTCAGCACCAAGGTGCTGAGAATGGCAACCAGCTCTTCTCTCTCCCAAGGTTAGATTAGAAGGCCCGCCTGAGGTCACCACAGCTGATAAGAGGATTTCTGGGTGGTGTTTGTATATCTGAGAGAGTACACAGAGAAGGATGCGGGTTTTACTTCTCTAGAGGTTACCCCAAGCAGGGGACATCCTCACTGTCTGAGGTGCACTCTGGGCTGTAGGAGGGGACCAAAGGCCATCCCAGAGCCACCTGCATGGTTACACCTCCGGGAGGCAGTAGCTTTGCCCCCTTCCCCATCACTGTGGCGTGGACGTCCTGCTCCGTGGAGGGGCCTCAGCATGAGGTGAGCCCACAGGGGGGTACGGAAGGCACAGAACTGCGTGAGGCGCAGGGACAGTTAGTGGCGATCACACCGGGTGTGGCTGAGGGCCTGCCCTCCCTGGCTGCGTGCCCTCTGCGGATCACCTACCCCCAGCCTTGGCCTCCTGGTCAGTCAACCCTGAACAGGGGGTGGTGCTTGCTGGCCCAGAAATGACCATAAACAGAGCAGCAAGGAGGACGGTTTGAAGCAGACCCATTTGATTTTTGTGGACCTTCCATAACTTTATCTCTGGTTGCCTCACTTTCTTCCTTTGGAGAAACGATCCCAGTGATGCCAACCGTCAGGCCAGTAGAGAAAATTCAATGAGGTCATTCTTAGGGACCCCCAACCCCATTCTATGCTCTATAGTCACCTCGCTCTTGACAGCTCTCTCTTGAAGTCTGATCCTCTCAGAACAAATGTCCCCATCCCCCCGCCCCGCACAGGGCTGGTCTCACCCCGCAGGAGGTGAGCACCCACAGCCACCCTTGCCACACTGAGAGCCGGAGAAGGGTCTCTGGGAGGGGTTCCTCCCTCTCTGGCTCCAGTGACTGCATTGTTCACCCTCCAGGTCCAGGTGGGAGAACCAGCCAGGCTATACTGCTACCACCCCATAAAGCAACGAGCAGCAGCCTGAATCTCAGGCACCGTGTTCCAACATGACCTAACACCAAACAGCCCGGCAGGCTGAGCAAGAGCCCCGATCTTGCATCACCATGAGCACCTTGCTGAAGATGGCCCTCCCAGAGTCTCAGCCCGAAACACCTCCTCACTGGCTGTGACTTCCCAGCGCCAAGATACTCTGCCTTCAGGTGGGTGACCCACAGGACGCAGACTCACCGTCCCCCGGGGAGAACAAGGTCATGCCCAGCCCCCGGAGCCCCGAGCCTCGGGGGGACGTCCGGCCACTCCGAGTGTTGCCTCTCGCCCTGCAGCTGATTCCACTTCCAGGAGCTGCGGAGCTGCTGGTTCTTCTCTGGATGGTCCTCGGCCCAGGAGCCCAGGAGCCCAGCCCGCCCTGCCTCCTCAGCCCAAGCAGACAGCCCATCGGCACCGAGGCCAACCACGCCACAGCAATCCCAGAACAAGGCTGGATTATTAGAAACCCAAAGAAGATTAGTGGGGGACACCATCTGCAGAGAGAATCATTAGCTTAGTGGGTTACACAGACTGTTCCTGGCTGTCTGCCCAAGGGTACACTCTTCAGGACTGTTAAACACAGTCTCAGCCCTGGCCGGTTTGGCTCAGCGGTTAGAGCGCCCGCCTGCGGTCCGGAGAGACCCGGGTTCGGTTCCCGCTAAGGGCATGTACCTCGGTTGCAGTTTGTCCCCGGCCCTGGTTGGTCGTGCGGGTGGCAGCCACTCGATGTGTCCCTTTCACATCGATGTTTCTCACTCTCTCTCTCTTCCTCTCTCTCCCTCCCACTCTGTCTGTACAAAAAATGGAAAAATGTCCTCGGGTGAGGATAAAAAAAATAAAAAATAAAAAAAATAAACACAGTCTCAGGGGCTTGTGGGGAGCCTTCCGAGCCCCAGGGGCTCTCACCCAATTCCAGCCACCTGGGTGCACCACAAGGAGCCTGGGCTGGCAGGCGGCCAGTCCACGGGGAGTGTCCCACAGAAACACAAGACCTGAGTGGGGGACAGAGGGGAAAAGGTGACTGGCTGGCTGCCATCTCCCTGAATAAAGCAGAAAACAAACTACAATGACATCCCGAGACAGGAATTAGGTTTGGGAGATCTAAAAAGACCAGCTGACCAGGAAGCCCGTCCATCAGCTGTTTTCTCTACCAATGCTGAAGAACCCGCTTCCTCCTCAAGGACCCTCCTTCCTGATTTTAGACTAAACTGATCATTGGGCTCTGTGTAGGCAACACTTTGGGGGAACTATTGATGCCTGGAATGATCAAGTCCACCCTCTCTGAGGACAGAAAACCTCTTAGAATACTCATGTTTGTGTGCAGGGTTGCCAGGGGGCAGACATGAACTGTGTGACCTGAAGCCGGTGCTTTTCACCTTGGGGACAAATAGGGTTAAACAGCCACCCATGGACACAATGAGGACTGAGACTGCATTGTCATCAAGAGGTAAAAACTGAGCCTCCAGGATAGGTTCAGGGGGTTAGCCCAGATGAGCTGCTGCTGCCCATTGCTCCCCTGGTTGCAAGTCTCGTGGGACCCCTTAGAGTTTAGGGGATGCACACCTGTGAGGGAGGAAAAGGGGAAAGGGAAAGGTGTGGATGTACTCCTGGGAGGGAGAGCATGCCTCAGTCTACCAATTTGAATGCTAGTCTGTTTCAGAAAAATCTTCACAGGCACACTCAGAAATCATGTATCACCAGCTAACTAGGCATCCTTAGCCCAGTCAAAGTGACACATAAAATTGACCATCACCCTGGGCTTGCCCAAGTAAGTTTAATTAGTTGGAACAAACATTGTCAAACACAATTGTCATGGGCTGAAATCCAGATCATTCATGCAAAGTGCAGAGTAGGGGCAGCACAGAGAAACTTCAGATGGTATGTGTTGGTTCTCATTTATTGTGCACCTGCAAAGTGTACACCATTCATTGGTATTTAATACATGCCACTTCATCTGAACCTATGAATAAGCACACAGGACAATCAAATCTTTTTTTATTTCCAGATGTTCAACATGCAAATCACTGTAAGTAAAGGGAAAATAGATATGTTTGATGCCCACATCTGTAAAATGAAATGAGTGAACCAAGTGACCTCCAAGTGGAGAGAACGTTTATTTTACCAGCCAAACCAAGACATCAAAGAGAGTGTCCAGCCGGTGTGCCTCAGTGGTTGAGCATTGACCCATGCATCAAGAGGTCGCTGGTTCGATTCCCGGTCAGGACACATGCCCAGGTTGTGGGCCTGATCCCCAGTGGGTGGCATGGAGGAGGCAACCAATCAATGTTCTCTCTCATTGATGTTTCTATTTCTCTCTCCCTCTTACTTTTTCTTTCTATAAAAATCAATAAAGGGAAACATTTTTTTTTTTTTTAAAGAGTGAAGCTAGGCCCTGGCTGGTTTGGCTCAGTGATTAGAGCATCAGCCCATGGACCGATGAGTCGCAGGTTCAATTCCAGTCAAGAGCACATACCTTGGTTGTGGTTCATCCCCGGCCCTGGTTGGGTGGTGCGGGAGGCAACCAGTCGATGTGTCTTTCTCACATGCATGTTTCTTTCTCTTTCTCTCTCTCTCTCTCTCCCTCTCCTTCTCCCTCCCTCCTACTCTATAGGATGATAAAGAGAAAAATGTTCTCAGGTGAGGATTTTTAAAAAAGTGTGCCGCTAGAAATGAGGTCATGGACAAAATGCGATACGACCAGATATTGAGAGTAAGCATTCAGAAACTTTTATGACAATTTGACCTTGTAGTAATATCCAAGTGTAAAACAGTTGACCTGTGATGGGGATGTTTTCTTTCTTTTTTTTATCTCCAGTCGGTTTTAATGAATGGCAATACCTCATCACATGCTACATAGTTCAGGGTGAGAGTTTTGTCATAAACCTTTCTGATACTAAAATTGCCTCCTTTCATATCACCCAAAGGTCCACCCAGCGGAGGGAAGAGAAAGCTGAATGGGACCTGAGTGTCTTGGGGGAAATGCAAGTTGATACGTTGCTTCTTTGCAAGGACATGGGGCAGGGAGAGCGAGTTCCAGTCACAAAGAGAAGACTACCAAGCAATAAACATACGTCTCCATCCTTCCTGTGAGGCCTGCCAGCCCTTAGAAATGAACTGCGCCCTTAACCCACAGGTAGTCTTCCACGCAGCAGTGGCTCTGTTTCCTGCAGCAGGGAGCGCTGGGCTCTCCTGCAGCCTTGGCCCTCCACCCCCCGCAGCCGTGGGGCAGGGCCCGTGGGCCTCAGCTGTCTGGTGGACGCCCTGCTTCCCCTTGATCACCGGGCTCTGGCTGGGGAAACCTCCAGCAGCTCACGCGACGGCCTTTGGCATCGGCCTCTGCTGCTGCTCCCCCTGCTCAGTCCTCAGCCACCTCTGGGCTGAGAGCAGCAGTGCCGGTCGTCAGGGTGAACGTGTCTTCTAATAATTAACTGTATTGTGTTCCTTTACGTATTGACTTGCAACAGATTGAAAATTTCAAAAACAAACGAACAGTTTCTTCCCCAAGGATTGTTGGTTTGAGAAGCACCTCCCTGCCCTAGAAGTCAGTGTCCCTCCTCTTTCCTTGGAAGGAAGGAACCTTCTTGTAATTGTGTATCTCCCCGCACCCCACCCAGGAAGGGCCGGTGTCCACAGTGTGAGTCTGCTCAGGCTGCCATTCGGAGGACCACAGACTGGGGGCTTAAGCAACATACATTTGCTTTCTCAGAGTAATGGAAGCTGGAAGTCCAAGACCAAGGTGTCGGCAGGGCTGGTCTCTTCCGAGGCCTCTCCTTGGCTTGCAGATGACCGTCTTCCCCCGTGTCCTCACATGGTCGTCCCTCTGCCAGTGTCTGTGTCCTAATCCTATAAGGACACAAGTCAGGTTGGGTGAGGGCTCACCATATGACCTCATTTAGCCTTAATGACCTCTTTAAAGGCTCCATCTCCAAATGCAGGTGTGTGGGGAGGTCTTGGGGATGAGGGCTCCAACACAGGGCTTTGTGGGAAGCACAGTTCAGCTCATACAAATGAAGCCACACGGTCAGGACATAGTCCTTCCCACTGTGGTATCTTCTCCACCCCGCAGCCTCCAGCACCCGAGCTCTGTGACTGCAACAGAACAGCAAAGACGGCAGGTCCTTGGCTGGGTTTTGAAGTGCCTGGCCGGTTAAACTGGAGACCAGCAGGGCCACGGGCAGCAAAATTGCGATCATCCAAGTGGCTTCTTTCTTTCATTAACTTAACAGTGAGAAGGGCTGTCGGAGTTACCGCACAGCCCAGTGAGGAAGGACATTTTATTTTTATTATTATTTTTTTTATCCTCACCCGAGAAAATCTTTGCATTTATCTTCAGATAGAGCAGGAGGAAGAGAGGGAGGAAGAGAGAGAGAGAAACATCAATGTGAAAGAGACACATTGAGTAGTTGCCACTCACACAACCCCAACCGGGGCCATGGACAAACTGCAACCCAGGTACATGCCCTGAGCGGGGACCGAACCCAGGACTCTCTGGTTCGCGGGCCGACACTCTAACTGCTGAGCCAAACCAGCCAGGACATTTTAAACCGACTCTGGCACACTCCTGTACCCCAAAGACTTTTATCCTCTCCCCTCCCCACTGCTGAGGACTTTCCATGGTGGCCTCCCCCTCAGACCCCAGCTTCCTCCACTGTGTTCTCCCCCTCCCTAGAGCCCCAGGTCCCTCATCTCCCCCACCCTCAAGGTCTTGCCACTTCATTTTCCCCAGACCATACTTTGTTATCCCAGGCAGAAAGGCCTTGTCAGTGTCTCCAGGACGGGGTGGCTCCTCTCTTCCATCACGCCACCACCACGCACTGTTATCACGTTATGACAGCACTTCTGCCACTCGGTCTGCTCCGCCCCTGGAGTGGGCACGCCTTGAGGGCAAGGACCCGTGTTCCTTCATTCAGCAAATACACCTCTGCTTCCCGCCACGTACTCTTCCAAGCACGCGGTCCCCACGGTGAGCAAAGCAAATACCCGCCCTCGTGGACACTCCGCCGCAGCACACACAAGGTAAGAAACACGTGTGAGGAAGGAAAAGAAAGCGGAGTGAGGGGCTGGAGAGGGAAGGAGCTGCCCCTGTACAGGTGGGTTGGGGGAGCGTCTCAGGACGTCGAGGCCTCTGTGACGTGAGCTGGCCAAGCAGGGACCTGGGAGGAGAGCTTTGAAGACAGAGGCGAGAAAAGGTACAAAAGCCCCAAGGCAGAGAAAGCCCAGCAGAGCAGATTAAGCGAGAGAGGAGTGGACAGCGCTGGGAAATGGGTGGAAGAGGAAGCCGGGGCCACGTCATAGGCGACTTTACAGGCGTCGCTGCCGCTCATGCTTTTAATAGAATGGCGACTCCTCAGTGTGCAATAAACATTTTTATGAGGGAACGAATGAATGATTGCTTAGAGACAGGCTGAGATTTACTGTGTCCTAAAAATGACCTTTCTCTGCTGCGTACCTCCCCGCCCCACCTCCAGGGTCCTTCCCCTGGGAAACGAAGGGTTCCTACCTGTCTAACCGGCTGCACGTCACACAGCCTAAGTTTATCTTCTGAGAAGCGTCCACAATGGGGACTCTTGGCTCCTCATGATGGTTTGTCCTTGATGGCTCTCTTTTTATGTTAATGAACAGAATTCCCACCCTTCCCCAGCCCTGGAAAAGTCTCCTGAGATAACCGACTGTCTCTTTCTCAGGGCCCTGACAGGAAGTCGGACGTGCAGCTCACATTGGTGACCAGGGGCGATATCCTGCGACCTAAACACCCCCACTTCCTGGTTCTGGCAAATCGCTTTACTTCTGTGAACAAGAACCCCTCACTGCCTGGTCCATCTCGACCTAATTTGACCCAACCTGAGCCTCACAAATTAGTTTCTATAGCACTGAGAGATTACGTGTAGCTACATGTAACTCTAAACCCAAATAACTGTCTTAAACAAGATGTGGGCGTTTTTGTTTTTCTTTTATGTCACAAAAAGGGCAGAAGTCAGTAGTCCGTGGCTGATGCAGCAGACCTTGGTCGTCATCAGGGAGCCCAGGATAGGATTCTCATTCACGTGCTTGCAACATGACTGCTGGTGCTCCAGCAATCATCTCTGCATTCCCAGTCAGAGGAAAGAAAGAGATAAAGGTCCAATGCATTTTCCAAAGCCTGGAAAACCTACCCAGGAGCTACGTCACATGACTACTCCCATCTGCAAGGGAGGCAGGGAAATGGTTTTCAGCTGTGCACATTGCTGTCTTTGGGGAAATTGGGGTTCTGTGGTAAGACTAGGGGAGAAGAAATACTGACCAGATCACAGACAATATCTACAAGGATCCACCCTCTTGAGCTACCCGTCATCCATAAATACCCTTATTTGCATTCAAATTCACATATACTTCACATTTCCACGAGGGACAAAAAGAATCTCTGATGACACCTTTCTCTCTCTCATGTCTAAGAAGTGGTCCTTGGACTCTAGAAGTCCAAGAGTCTGCCCCAGCATGCCCCGCAGGCAGTGGCAGAAGACAGTGACTGTCATAAAAACTCCCATCCAGAAAAGAAGCCAGTCACAGAAGGGCAAATGCTGTAAAATTCCACTTATATTAATACCCAGAGCAGTCAGAGTCACAGAGATGGAGAAGAATGGTGGGGGGCCAGGGAAAGCAGGGAGCGTCGAGCGTCCAGTGGGCAGTCTCTTGGGGAAGATGCTTGGCTGCTCGGCAACATTAATGTACTTAGTGCTGTGGAGTAAACTGGTCTAAAAGTGAGCATTATGTCTATTTTACCCCAAAAGAAACAATAAATGTTTAAAATGAAAAACAAAAAAACAAAAAAGAGTACTTGGGGTGAGTCTTGAAGAGATCGTGCTAAGCAAAATAAACCGGTCACAGAGGACAAACACTGCATGCTGCCACTCCTGTGAGCTCTCTGAAATATCAAACTCTTCGAGTCAGGGAGGGAATGGTGGCTGCCACTTTGGGAGGGGGTGGGGGCGAGCTGCTCGTCAAGGGGCATAAAGTTTCAGATGTGCAAGATGGATAGTTCTAGAGGTTAGCCTACAGCAATGTGCCTGTTGTTAGCAATACTGTACTGTGCACTTGAAAATGTGTTGAGCAAAGGTCTCCTGTTGTGTTCTTGCTGTAACAGAATTTAGAAAAGGAATCTGAGTCTAGAAAGCAAAGGCGTGCAGACAGCACCCTGGAGTGCACCGCGGAGGGGATGAACAGCCGAAGGGAAGTCTTCCGGAAGGCAGGGAAGGAATGGGTGGAGAGACAGACCGGCATTCAGGAGAGAGCAGCTTATTCGAAGCCAAGAAGTAAATATATGTTCCACAGAGCAACCAAGGACGACCAGGATGGAAAGCGACCCACGACAGCAGCTACGTGTTGCCAAGGGGCGCGCTTTGTAGGTTCGCTCCCTCCCTCGATAAACAAGAGCGGAGAAGCTGCTGGAGAAAGAACGGGTAAGTTTTCATGAGGAGCCCAGAGCCTCAGGGCAGGCAAGGGATGGCCTCCCCCCATTCCCTGTTCCTAGTGACCTTCAGGGGTGGAACGAGGGGCCCTAACCAGAGCCCTCCTCGTGGTGGGAAGAGCGTGAGGCCCTGAAGCAGTAAGGCCAAGAGGGTAAGGAAGGTGGGCCGCGGAAAAGCCTTGATGGAGCCGTGTGGCCAACAGGGATGACGGCTCTGAGCAGCTGAGGTGGCGGACGCTGGAAACTTAGGAGCTTGTGCTCCTCCCCCTGCTGGGGCAAGAGCTATAGCCTGGTTGCTCTCACTCCTGGACAGAGACCCCCTGGCCAGCCTCAAACCCACAGAGTGGAGGAGGCCTGGCCGGCACTGGTGGAGGCGGCGCCAGGACCAGACGTCTCATCCAACGGCCCCAGCCAACATCCTCCTCTTTCCTCGCTGAGGCTCCCGCGCAGTGTCCGGGTTTATAATCAGGGGGGCGGGGGAAAGCAGGACTTGCCCCTCAGGTGGCCAGCAGACACGAGGGCTTCCAGGACAGGAAGGAAAACACTAGCCAGGAGTGAGTGACGGAGCCCCACGCATCTCAGCCTGTGGGTGCTTGGGCGCTGCACTTGGGGACAGCCCCGCTGAGCTCTTTCCTGTACCCCAAAGCAAAGTTAGGATGCTGGAAACGAAATCACCAGGGCCTCTGGCCAGTGAGAAGTGGGGAGGAAGCCAGATCATAGCGAAGAGAGCAAACAAAGGCCCGTCTTTTCATGGAGACAAGTCTTTACACGTGGAAGGAAGAAGAGAAATGGGGCTTGGGCGAGAAGTATATGTAGGATGGGGGGACCTGCGTGATCGCAGGAAGCCTAAGAAGGCTCACCTCCCGAAGGCAAACGGGCTGTGAGGGAGAAGTTGGAGATTGGAAAGGGATCGGGTCTCCAGACAGTGTGGGGGAGGAGAACTAGAGCCCAGCTGGAGGGGAGGGGCTGGGAAGAAAGGAGCCTGAAAAAAAGCCACCTGAGTGGGTCTTCATGACCTCACAAAGCCGCACCCTCATCCCCAGGTTCCGGAAACTGAGTCAGTCCTGGCGAGTCTCCTAGCAATGAGATGCAGATGGCACTCCTAACACCCCAGGGAGTGAAAAAAGTCTTCCAGTGTCAGGTGAAGAGAAAACGTGGCCTTTAAAAGGAAGTTTGCTCAGACTGATCTGGCAGTGAGGTGTGCGCTAGAGGTGGCCTCGCAACGGTGCCTTTTCAGACGGACACCTCGGACATCACCCCTTTCCCGGCACACCGCCTCTGAGGCCCACAATGAGTGTCGGCCCTGGATTGCCCAGCCAAAGGCTCACCAGCCCTTGCAGCTGGAGGCCGTCTTCAGAACCTAAAGTGACAGCCCCTGGTGCCCAGAGCCCTGTGGAGGGAAGGAGAGGTTGAGTGTGTGGGCTCTGTGCCTGCCTCCACTCCAGTAGGACCAGGGAGGCCCTTGGGGCTGGTCACAGGGGTGCCACCGCTCACCAGGGAGCCTCCGGGATTGTATGCCAAATTTATAAGGAATGTGAGGTGCATTGGGAGCAGTTTTCCTTGGTTTCTCAGAACTCGTTTGGAGGCCAAAAGGCATGACAGGAAGTGATGGGGATCCAACCTGCAGGGCCTGGACCTGTCAGCAAGCTCCTTCCAGAGCAGGGCTATCCACAGAGGAGTGTCAGGACACTGCTTCAGACCTCAGGCAGGAGGGTCCCATGCCAACTGTGGGATCAGGTCAGCTTCTGATCTGCAGCCATGAGCTGATGGACAGGCACAAGGCGAAGGTTGCCCCTGGTGGGGCCTTTGTCCCTACCCTGGGACATGGCCTTCACCACCTTCTCCACCTCTTCCAACCAGCTGTCCCATCAAGCAGCAACCTGGGGATCTGTGAGGGCGATGAGGAAGGATGCCCGGGTCAGGCAGGAGAGCAGTGGTGGAGGACAGGAAGTCCCTGTGGGTGAGGACAGGGCTCTGGGATTCCCTCTGGCACAAAGTCAGCCATCAGCACCTTTCCCCATCCACAGTCCCCCCAGCCAGAGCCTCCCCCTTCCAGGGGAGCAACGCTCCAGTTCATGGGTCTCCACTCCATGCCACAGCTTTTTTACCCCTTCCCTTCAAGGCACTTGCTTCTCTTCCACCTGTTAGTGATCTTTAAGAAACTTTCTGGAAGGGCAAGGTGAATCTCCAAGTAAAATGTGTTCTTACCCATGGATAGGGAAAAATGGTACTCTGATCAATATTTACCCCTTGATCTGCCAGAGTGCCTGAATTTTCACCAAGCGAGATACATTCCTTCTTGCTTCACCAAGCCTCTTCTCAGCCATTTACACTTTCGTACGGATCTCATTATCAGATCAATACCTCTGGGGCAGCTAGTTGAGAGCAGACTCAGAGAGAAGTAAAAAAAAATTTTAGGGAAGAGGAAGGAAGGGCCATAATTCAGACCTGAAGTCTGCTGGAGATTTATAAACTCAGGGCTGCCATGGCTACCATGAGGATGCTCAGAGGAACAGTGCGAGAAAGAAGAGTACATGCCCAGAAAGAGAAGGGAAAGCTGTCCAGAAACGAAAGCATCGTTCTGGCAGGCATATCCTCCTCCTTGATCACTCTTCAGGACAGTGGGGAGCCAGGGGAGGGGCCCAGGAGTGTTTTTCCCTGTGATCCTGATTCCTTAGTATCACCTCCACCCCTTATGTCATGCCTCACAGAAACCAGAAGGTCGGGAGCACCTACGGAGACTGCTGAACTGGGAACAGTTTGACGAAGTGAGAGACTCCCGCAGAAGCATCCTGCTGGATACGCTCTACGAAAGCATCATCTTTGCTGCGGGCAAAGGCTTCCCATGGGTGGAGGTGGTCAAGGTGGTCAAGTTCACAGAAGAGCTGCTCGAGGAAACCAAAGGTATGGGGCATCCAAGGCAGGAGTCAGAGAGGCTTGTAGAGGGGGCAGGGGGGATGCAAAGGACTCCCTGCAGTCCACCATCTCAGGAGTCCTCTAAAGAGCCCTGAGCCCCTTCCTTTTTACACCTGGCACTTACCCTCCTCATGTGCACATCCATGGGGTCCCTGTCCAGACTTTGTCAAAAGTGTATCAAACAGCCCTGGCTGGTTTAGCTTAGCAGTAGAGTGTCGGCACTCAGACCAATGAGTTGTGGGTTCGATTCCAGCCAAGGGGACCTACCTCAGTTGCAGTTTGTCCCTGGCCATGGTCAGGGTCTTGCAGGAGGCAACCAGTCAATGTGTCCCTCTCCCGTTGATATTTCTCTCTCTCCCCCTTTATCTCCCTCTCTCTCCCTTCCTTTCTATCTGAAGATAAAGAGAAAAATATTCTCAGGTGAGAATTAAAAAAGAAAAGCAGATCAAATAGAATGTTCTCACTGAGACATCACTGGTCACCCTCACTGAAAACCTGCACCACTCCTACCTGTTCACACAACAGCCAGGATGTTTGCTTACCAATCAGACATTGACACTTTAGTATGATTTTCATCATTCAATGAATACCTTTGGGATAGCTAGTTGAGAACTGGCCCAGAAGGAAGTCAAATTGTGTTTAAGGGAAGAGAAAGAAAAGACTATCATTCAGAATTTTTGTTTTGTTTAGTTTTGTTTTTGCTTAACATAAATCAAATGTATCATTCCTCTGCTTAAAACCCTTTATTGACTTCCCCTGGCACTCCTAAAAGATGGCTCATTGTTCCCAGTATCAAGTTTTGCTCTGCTAATGTCTTGAGGGAATCTTTTACAGGTAAGAGTTTGTTGGCAGGGATGAGGGAATAGCAGTCAGGTGAGTTTATAGATGGAATGTCTATGGATGGATTACAGAGGAAACCCCTGCTCTGTGTAGAGCATAACAAGAGGATGAGTTTCTCTCTGTGACTTCATGGCACAAAGGAAAGTGGTTACATCTGTTGACCTTTTGGGCTGTGAGATGCAGATTCATTCATTAAGCAAATATATGGAACAATCCTTCTATGACCACCATCATAGTAATACTCGGCCAAGAATTGTTAATAGATACTACCACCAGTTGGTGAATGCTGAATAATAAATGGGAAAGATTCCATAATGGTAGTGGAGTGAATGGAAGCTACACACACCATCTCCCAGGACCAACTTGGAATGACAACTAAAATAAAGACAAATTGTCAGGAAAAACAACAACAGAAAAGCAGCTGGAGAGGACCCATATAACCAGGGACAGTAAGAGAACACTAAATCAAGCCTGGTAGGACCTGTGAAGGCATGAGAGAGTGGGCTGGGAGCCCACTTACAGCAGCTGTTGTAGCTGTGAGCAACTTCCTTGAGTTTAAAGTCCCAAGCTGGCTCCATAGTGCAGATGGCCTGGACAGAGCACGAAATCAGCTACACCTTGGGCTCCAGCAGAGGGAGGGCCAACTGGATGGAACTGTGTGGGGAGACTTGGGAGCTTGGAGAGCTGGGAGGGCAATGGGAGTTTTGTGCTGAATTACTCCCTCACAGGACAGTAGCCACCTTACTCAAAGAGCACATCCCAGAGCCCTGGGGAGAAGCAACAGGCCCTCCCTCAGGAATTTAACACCACCTGGCCAGGCCAGAGAAATGAAAATTGAGGCTCATTTACAGCCAACAAGCATCTGCCCCACCCACTAGAAATCCTCTTATTCTGAACACCTGAGGGATTTTTTTCATTCATTTGAGGGTTACAACCCAAGGCTCATCAAGTAATTGAGACTAATAGCCTTCAGGCAAAAGGCCTGAGGATAATTGAACCTTTCCTGGGCTGGCAAATCTACCCAGGGAAATAAGACTTGACAATGGTATTTAACCTGTGTCCTCTCACACTCATCCAAACCCAGTAGAGGGAGCCACAACCAGTGGAACACCAACACCCACAGGGAAAGTTTGACAGGCTCCAAAACCACTGAGACAGCCAAAATGGTGAAACAAAGAAACAAATCCCAAATGAAAGAACAAGAGAACTCTACCAAAGAAGAGATAAATGAAATGCAGTTAAGCAAGTTATCAGAGGTTAAGTTCAGAGTCATGATAATGAGGAAACTCAAAGGATGAGTAAAGAGTTCAACAGCATATGTAAAGATATAAAACATTGAAAACCAACCAATTGGAAATGAAGAATGACATAGCAGAAATAAAGAACACATTGAAAGAAATAACCAGCAGAGCAGAGGAAGCCGAGGACCAGATTGGTGAATTAGAAGGCAGGATAGAAAAATCACCCAATCAGAAAACCAAAAGAAAAAACAATTAAAAAACGAGAAGAGAGCTTAAGAGAACTATGGGACATGTGAAACATAACAACATTCACGTCATAGGAGTTCCAGAAGAAGAAGAAAATGAGTAAGGGTTAGAGAATATATTTGAAGAAATAGTGACAGAAAACTTCCCTAACTTGGTGAAGAAAAGAGGCATTCAAGTTCAAGAAGCACAAAGAGCCCTAAGTAAGCAGAACCCAAACAGGCCCACACCAAGACAAAATGCCAAAAATTAAAGACAAAGAGAGAATCCTAAAGGCAGCAAGAGATAAGCAACAGGTTACCTACAAAGGAACCCCCATAAGGCTATCCGCTGACTTTTCAACAAAAACACTACAGGCCAGAAGGGAATGGCATAAAGTAATCAAGGTAATGAAAAACAAAGATCTGAATACAAGACTACTCTATTCAGCAAGGCTATCATTCAAAATAGAAGGTGAAATAAAGAGCTTCCCAGACAAAAAAAAAAAGACTCAGGGAATATATTAGTACAAAACCAGCACTACAAGAAATGTTTAAAAGACTGCTGTAATTAGTAGAACAAATAGAAAAAAATATATAACCACAATAAATAAAAATGGCAATAAATAAGTACATATCAATAATAACCTTAAGTGTAAATGAACTGAACACTCTGATAAAAAAAAACAACAACACACAGAGTAGATGACTGTATAAGAAAGCATGACTCGCCCTAGCCAGGTTGGCTCAGCTGTTAGAGTGTCAGCCCATGAACCAGAGAGACCTGAGTTGGTTCTTACTAAGGGTACACATCTCGGTTGCAGTTTGTCCCCGACACTGGTTGGGGTCATGTGGGTGGCAACAATTCGATGTGTCTCTCTCACATCGATGTTTCTCTTTCTCTCCTCCTCCCTCTCTCCCTCCTGCTCTATCTGAAAATAAATGCAGCCCTGGCCGGTTTGGCTCAGCGGTTAGAGCGTCGGCCTGCAGTCCAGAGAGACCTGGGTTCGGTTCCCACTAAAGGCGCGTACCTCGGTTGCAGTTTGTCCCCGGCCCTGGTTGGTCGTGCGGGTGGCAGCCACTCGATGTGTTCCTTTCACGTTGATGTTTCTCTCTCTCTCTCTCTCTCTCTGTTCCTCTCTCTCCCTCCCTCCCACTCTACCTGAACAAAAAATGGAAAAGTGTCCTCGGGTGAGGATAAAAAAAAAAAAAAAAAGAAAATAAATGCAAAAAAGTCCTCAGGCGAGGATAAAACAAAAGAAAGCATGACTCATATATATGTTGTTTACAAGAGACCCACCTTACAACAAAAGACTCACATAGGTTAAAAGTGAAGAGATGGAAAAAAGTCTTCCAAGCAAACAAAAAAGAAAAAAGAGCTGGGATAGCAATATTAATATCTGATAAAATAGACTTCAAAATGAAGGCCATAACTAGAGACAAAGAAGGCCACTACATAATATTGAAAGGATCTATCCAACAGAAAGATATAGCCTTGGTAAACATATATGGACCCATTATAGGAGCACCAAAATATATTTTAAAGCTTCTGGAGAACTTCAAAGGAAAAATCAACAGCAATACAATCAGTGATACCTCGGTTCTCGAACATAATTCGTTCCAGGAGGACGGTTGAGAACCGAATTGTTCGAGAACCGAAGCAATGAAACCCAATAGGAAAGCGTGACTCCACAAAGCGTGACTCTCTCTCTGCACTCACACTGATGACGCAAGCAAGGCGCACTGGGCCGAATGAACGCCATTCGGCTCAACTCGGCTCATCTCGGAAGTTCGAGTTCCAAATATTTGTTCGGATTCCGAGACAAAAGTTTCTCGAATCTCCTGGTCGAATACCGATTTGGTCGAAAACCGAGGCGTTCGAGAACCGAGGTATCACTGTACAATCATAGCTGGGGACTTCAACACCCTGCTGATATCACTTGATAGATCTTCTGGACCAAAAATGAGCAAGGAAACAGGGGCTCTAAATGATGCACAAGATTAAATGGATTTAATAAATATCTACAGAGAATTACACCCCAAAACTGCAGAATTCACATTCTTCTCAAGCACACATGGGACTTTCTCAAAGATAGACCACATGTTAGGACATAAACTAAGTCTCTATAAGTTCAAGAATATTGAAATTATATCAAGCTTCTTCTCAGATCACAATGGCATGAAACTAGAAATCAATTACAATAAAAACATTCAAACACATTTAGGCTAAATAGCATGTTCTTAAACAATGAGTGGGTTACCAAAGAGATCAAAGAAGAAGTTAAAAACTTCCTGGAAACCAACAAAAATGAACACACAACAACACAAAATTTATGAGATGCAGCAAAAGCAGTCCTGAGAGGGAAGTTCATAGTACTACAGGCCTACCTGAAGAAACAAGAAATATTTTTAATTGACTATATAACCTCACAACTTAAAGAGCTAGAAGGCAAACAAAAAGAAAAACGCAGAGCAAGTAGAAGAAAAGAAACAGTAAAGATCAGAGCAGAAATAAATGACATAGAGACTAAAGAAACAATTCAAAAGATCAATGAAGCAAAGAGCTGGTTCTTTGAAAAGATAAACAAGATTGATGGACCCTTAGCCAGACTTACCAAGAAACAAAAAGAGAGAACCCAAATAAATAAAACCAGAAACTACAGAGGAGAAGTAACAACTGACACTA